CTTGTATGTGTTCGTTTTTTCTTGGCTCGTTGTTTTCTTGATTGTGTCATCAATTATGCTTAAAGGGTACTAATTTTTTGTTTTAAAACGTTCTCCTATGTTTAAAATTTCGTTTTTCACGTTTTCATTGGTACATAGCCTCAGTGTTGTTATGATACATCCTTTAGATGTTCCTATTTTTACTTTTTCATTGTGAGAAGAAAACAGTTTACATAAGTACCACCATGAGTCTTCTTTTGGTGAATTTTCAGTGTTTCTTTTTTTTATTATTATCGTTATTCTTTTAAAAATGAGACGTTGTACAGAAATAAATATATTATCCTACAAGTGGTTGTCTCAAAACTTCACATTTCTCGTAAGTTAAATGATTACATCTTAAAAAGCAAGTAAAACATTTTTACTTGCCATAATATTGTTACGACAGTGGAAGTCACGTGACTCTAGTAACACGTCATGAACTTTTAGAACGTTCACGTCCCTTCCTGAAGCCTCGAGAGGTTACTAGATATGCGATATTCTTGTATATATATATAAGACCGGTAAGAAGTGACGGCAACAATGTAATGTAATGTGTAATTGAACTGCAGACAGAGATAGAGACGAATTGTTGGGTCGAGCACGTGTGTCGTTCGTTGTGAATTATAGCGTTTGTTATAGCGTGACTGTGGAGATTAAGTGTATTGCAAAGTTGTATTCAGAAATAATAAACCAGTTTTATTTAAGTAAGGACTTGTATCGCTAAAGTTTCTTCGGAAAGAATTTTTACGGAAAATTAACTAACGACCAGAGACGTAACAATATATAAGTATTATGTCTATTACGTTTTGAACTCTACATTCAAATATCTTATATAAATGTTGTTCCGACCATTATTGTGTTTGTTGTATCCTACAGGCCTGAAGAGATGTGGATTGAGAGGAACGCGTTGTCGGCAATGGATATGATAAATATAGTGAGTTTGGAATACTATTATTATACACTCTTCCAATTCACTAAGGAACTTCATTAAATATGTAATAGGCTTAATGCTAACGTCATAGGACAAGCAAAATTAAATATGTCATACTTAAAGTTCTCAGAGACGCCAATGAAAAAAAAACATTTTAATTAAAAAATGCCAATGTTACGGAAAGGTGAGAATTGTAGACACACAGGTGTCTTATTCAGAATTTACGACTTTCAGAATACACCTGTTGATTTTATGTTAAAGTTTAGTCTATAATTTCTACTAGTGTAAATGTTTTTGTGTATAACATGCGCAACTAAATCTTGAAGGTGGTCTACGAACAACGCCTCAACGTTTAATTGAGAAGGCGCGAAGGATAAAAAGCTGTTGCGTTACAGATTTGTTCTTCCTCAAAAATACAATATTTATATTCTAATAATTCTCGTTAAACTGTTAAAAACATATTTCTTTATTACCATTTCTTATAACTTTCAAGCTCTTGTAGAATTTACCAAGTATATTAACAGTCTTTCTATATATCTGAAAAGTTTTAAGTAGACCATTACAGTCGATAAAGTTTCTAAAATTCTAGCGTAAACAGCACATTTAAAGGATATCCAAGTTTGAACTCTAGTTCTCCATTTAATCGGTGATCTTGCAAACTCAGGTGTTTATGTTATAGAATGATGATCTAGGGTTTCTAGGTTGATTTGATTGTAGTTAAAGATTATAATAATATTAATAGTAGTGGTATAGTACAAGAAACTACCAACAGATGCCGACTGTGATTCGGTGAAACCAGAACCATGTATATACACGACGCTGTTTGAATGAATACGTGAAAACCCCGAGATTTTAAAAGGTCGAAACACACTATGCATTGGTACAAGAGTCAGCAAACCAAATAGCACGGTCATTTTCTTTCTTTTGTCATGAATTCATATATACTCCTAGAAATTAAGTGAATTAACAGTAACACTAATCTTAAGGTGTCATTATCCAGCAGTGCCTACTGGGTTATCTAAGTGCGATACTGACAAAATGTTTATGTATTTATGTGAGAGCTACTGAAACTATCTTCCGCCGTACAAACTATAATGATATCTGACTATAACTCATATAATATGCCCACGACTCCCAATTGCTGAGAACAATTTTACTGTAAAGGAAACAGGCCACGAACCACAATCCCTCATATTAATAATTTGGGCACGCTAACAATAAGGTCCCTAAACAGTTCTCTATGTAATAAACACAAAATGTACAGTAGTATTGCTGATTAATTTATATAAAAGTACGTCTGTCTGTCCAGAACTTTTCTCGCAATTTTCTCGATTATACGCAACAAATCTCAGATCGTCAGAAAGGCCTCTTTGTCCAAGGAGTTCGGATTGCATATTGGCTTTCAATTCAGGATGACCCTACATGTTTTGTTGTTGTTGTTTTTGCTTAATCAAATATTTCAATGCAATGGAACACGATGGAACAATGTCGTTGTCATCACGCGCCGACTTGGTTAGACTGATTTCGATTTCAAATTTAGTTGTTTTTTTTATTTGCAAAGTAAATACATATAACGTTTAACTCGATTGTAATTTCCTATAAAGGATTGAATATTACACTAAATATGATTTCTATGGACTTTCCCGACTTATTTAGGTCTAAAGTACACATACATAATCAGTTAAGTTTGCCTACATTACAACTTTACATTTACTTTACAATAACTTAGCTTCGGTTCATTTCGTAGACTGCTATAAACACGTTTTAGCTACTTTTTTTTTCTTTACTACAGGTTTTATTCTTCGTTTTTGTGAGTTTCTTGGTTTCAAATCGTAAAACCGAGTCATACACTAAACGTTCATAACTTTTGTTTATTTAAAATTAAGCACAAAGCTACACAATGGGCTATTTGTGCCCTGATCACTACGGGTATCGAAACCCGGTTTCGAACGTTGTAAGTCCGCAGACATACCGCTGTGCCACTTGGGGGCTGTTCATAACTGTTTCTTACTCGGTGTTAAATAAATGTAGCCCCCAGTAACACAGCGTTATGTCTGCGGACTTACAACGTTAGAATTCAGGTTTCGATACGCGTGGTGGGCTGAGCACAGATAGCCCATCGTGTAGCTTGTGCTTAATTACAAAAAACAAATAAATGTATCGATCTAACACATAATTCCTGCAAGAAAGTGTAGCTTACATGGCATGCGTGAAAATGAGAGAATTAGGAAAATTTAAGTGAAGGGCTTGAAAACTCCCACAAATGTTTTGCAAGTCACGACTAGTAGTACTACCATAAAAAAGTTGTGTTCATTGAATAGAATATAAATGTATAGTTAACTGATTTATTTTACAATTAATTAGACAATTTTTATTTCTATACTTTTTTCCAAGACATTCCGAGTAGCTTAATAATTGTGTGCTTACTTTCTTCAAATAATATAAAGCAATAAAATGTTTTAGATCATCCATCGTAAATAATTTACATAGTTACACGATAAATTTAAGCACCGGCTCTCCTCACTCCGCTTATGAAGTCCTCTAACAACACGTTTGCCAGTGCGAAGAGCAACTTAAGTGGCGCCACACATGATATTTTTAATACTTTTCAATGTTTCTTTTTTAGTTTTTAACTGGTCATGTTATTTTCTCAAAATGACTTGTTAGTATTTTTTACCTCGCAATCCTAATTTTACATAATTAGCAAAGTAAGATTATCAAACTTTATGTTACATTTGAAATAATAATTTTATTCTGAAATCCTATAATGTAACTGCGACCACAACATTGTTAAAACAAAATAAAGTAATAAAACATTCTATTACACTGACGTGTGTCTTTATGATGTCGGACCTGATACAGATAAATGGTGTTGTCGATCATAATGTTGTCTTGTACAACTGATGAACATAATTAATAAACAGTCTATCCACAAATAATTTAATTTTGTGATTAAAGACGCTCCCAAATTATAGTATTTTTTAAGCATGTCGCTAGTAATTTTCAGCCTTATCCATCTAGTCACAAAACGTCGTCGTCCTTAATTTTGAACTACCGGCTGTATAGAAGCAAGAGGTCAGCAGCAACCTATAATATTGTTACGACAGCAGAAGTCACGTGACGCTGTTAACACGTAATGCGTTCTAGAAAGATCGGGGAACATCACGAATAATCCAGTATTTGCTAGGCGCCCTCTATTCTTGTATATAAGTGCGCCAAACAATTAATCGGGATTAGAATTGCAGAGATAGAGACGGACAATTGAGTCAAGCGCGGTAGTAAGTAAAGTGCGTGAATAGTTCGTTGAGAATTATAGCGTGTGTTGAAGTGACTGTGGAAATTAAGTGTATTGCAAAGTTGTATTGAGAAAGAATAAACTAGTTTTATTTAAGAAAGGACTTGTATCGCTAAAGTTTCTCGGGAAGAATTTCTACCGGAAATTATCAAACAAGCAGAGACGTAACAGTATTATAATTAATAAAAAATGCGTACAACTTTTTTAGAACTGCTTAAGTGTCCTCAAAATATCTGTAAACAGTTTGTAGTTTCTAAAACATTTGTTATTAGATCGTAATTCGATATATTTTAATTTGTTACGTATGGAATTATAAGAAAGTTTCGGCTATGTTAAACTTTGAACCCTTCTATTATTGCAGACTACGTCAGATCGTGAATTTTTCAGGTATATTTTCAAGAAAAACGGTCTTTGAACTAAAGGTGCGATTTAATTAATATCTTGAATCATATCATTACATTTCATGTATTACTTTCATAAAATACATTTAAAAATAGATCATATTTGCCTATAGCAAGAATACATTTTTAACCTTCCTTGTTTTTAATTAAAAAATAATAATTGTGTTTGCTTTATATGCATCCTTTTTATATCCAAATAAGAACTGACTAGTCTCTTACGTCATCTCACACAGGCCTAATTTGAACATGAAGTTCGTTATTCAAAGGCATCTTTATGGTTTTTAAGTTAAATCGTAAATGATTTAACAAAATTAAAGAATTTTCTGGTAGACTGAGAAATAAAAGACACTTAAACTGTACACTATACAGTTTATTATTGTTTAGTTTGGCGAAGTTGCACAAACAACACTTCGTAGTCTTCTCTCCATCATGTTCCCCAAAAACAACAAATGCATATAATATTTTTAAAAATACAATAAGTTTTCCAATCATAAAAAGAATTTGAAATCCATTCTGCTTTTTAAAATTGAGTTATATTATTTAACGACATAAATTTAAACTCAACTTCTCATCACGAAATGGGGAAGTTTTTGTCTACATTTTACGTCACACTTACTGTCTTAACCCTAAAACAACTATTCAGAAAACACACTTCGATATCGCTGTCGATTGCTAACTACCCAGTAAATAAACATCAAATGTATATAAAAAAAAAAAAAGCATAAGCATGAAAATCCAAATTTTAATTAACTCAATTACTAAATGTGATTTCCCTTTGAGCTTATTTACTATATGCAACACAGAAAATTAATTAATAAAGTGAAACAATAGACGTGTTGGAAAAATAAATGGAAACATTTTTCTGAAAATTGAAGATATTTCATTGCAAGCTGGATAATTTTGCTGAATGCCAAATTGTTTCCTCACTATTAAAAGTAAATTGTTAACTGGAAGTAAACGACCGCATAGTTTTAATTTTAAAACGTAATTTAATACTATTTTCAGAGTTGCCAGTTCCACTTAAAAACGGCAGAACTGTACTTGTCTATTCGTGCAGTCACTTTAACTATATTTTGACGCTATAATAGTTTTGGGTTTGTTTTTGGTTTTGATCGCTTATCATGAAAACTGAAAAAATAATCAAAGTGCACGAGGCCAGTTAAATATTAATTATGCAGCTATGCAAAACTTAAAAACATTCTAACTGCATAATCCCGATTAAACTCATTCCATTGCTTTGCATAATACTTATTGAGTTTACACCAGGCAACGAGCACTCTTCATTTTCAAACTAAGACTAACTAAGTGGAAATCTAGTTGATTTGGTCATTTATATTTCATGGGGATATTCACCGTTTGTAAACTCGCAAGTTTACCTACATCCATCACACAAACTTGAGACGTAAGTTTACCTACATCCATCACACAAACTTGAGAAATAAGTTTACCTACATCCATCACACAAACTTGAGACGTAAGTTTACCTACATCCACCACACAAACTTGAGACGTAAATTTACCTACATCCACCACACAAACTTGAGACGTAAGTTTACTTACATCCACCACACAAACTTGAGAAGTAAGTTTACCTACATCCATCACACAAACTTGAGACGTAAATTTACCTACATCCATCACACAAACTTGAAACGATCAAGTAGCTGATTCACTTAAAAGTAAGATGTAATAAAACAAACTTTTTGCTGAAGTAATTAATTTTCAGAGGTTTCTGACTTGAAATACAATTGTAGGTGGTTTAAGAACTAATGGACAACAACTGCCTGTTGAAAGAAAAGCGACGTTTCGGCTTCTATATTGAGGCCTCTTTCTTTTGTAGAAGAAACGTAGTCTCCTTTTTTTATTTCAACAGCCGGCTACTGTTGATTAAGTCCTGAAACTCTTCTGCCTAAAATTTCATTGAAACATAATAGTAAATTGCAGATTTTAAATGTGTAATTTTTAAACATCGCTCAGTAACTACTTTTGTGTCACGGTTTGTTCTGTTATTATCTTACAAACATTAGAATGATTTATTAATTCAAAATGACACGAGCGAAAAGAAAGCATGAGGGGGGAAGGTTGGGTTTATTTTCAGTCCGGATCGCTAATTTCCTGTTGCAAATTTGACAACACTGTATATATTCATAATAACCAGTAGATGGCGCGTACGCATTCGTGAAAGAATGAAGTTTTAAAAATTATGAGAACAGAGGAATAAATGTCATTTTGATTTGTTAAGACACGCTATGTATACAATTTGTTTCATACGTGTCAAGTTCTGGAGTCAAACATTTTCAGGACACAGCGTTTATGTGTTATCAAAAACTGCCTTAAAGTTGTTGAGATGATTCTTACAATTTAAATACTGGAAAATCAAAACAAATACCCACAGTCTGGCATAACGCCAAATGATGAGACATCCGGTTTTTGAAACTTAAATTTCCAGGAAACTGTTGCACAACAAGGGTTCAGTAGTTTCACCTCACAGTAAACAATATTTTTATTTTATTTTAAAATTCATTACGTAATACTTCTAATAATGGCTTTCGTCCTAGAACCAATTTTCTTTTTTTGGAATAGAGCAGTGGCATATCTCCCGCTATACTGGGAGTTAAAGGATCCTGTTTAATTTTGCCAATAACCCCGTGTAAGGTATCTAATGCCTACCTACTTACAAGTTTAACTTTCAAACTTTAATAATCATGACCATATTCAAACAATATTTTAGAATTGATAGTTTGTCATTTTGTAATAATTTCGGTTTACCGTAATTCGTAAATTTAATATATCGGAACTTACTTTTTTTCTGCGCAACTCCAAGGAATATCGTCTGTAACCAAAGTATTTATCAATTTTTTTTTTCCCAACTAGAAGCATGATTTTATATTTGTTAAGACCTTATTATCCCTTGAGGACATAATTATTAGTGTTTTGTTTCTCATGTAAGTTGTTCAAAATAAAAGGGAGGGGGGATTTTGTTGAAATGCTATGTACACCACTGAATAACAGTGTCACTTGAGAAACGGAAACAATATCACACCGAAACTCACTGCAACGAAAAATGAAGTTAAATCAGACTTAAACATTTAATTAGTTAATCTTGTCGATTCGGAAGTGAACGATCAATATAATGCTAACATTTGGGAATTTTGGCGGGAAGAGTCAAGTAAACAATATATTTAATAGCTCTTTTTTTTTTAACAGGGCTCACGCTAGGGGGTGCTAGGATGGGCCGTTCACCCCCAAAACTTCTGTCTGGTCTACCAAAGTATAAAGAATCGTATGATCTATTTAATTTGCTAAGAAAAGTCAACACAAACTTCACTACCATGGGACGTGAGCTGGAGTCTGGCCTGAACATTAACAATCGACTTTGTAATTTGTAAAAAGTACATATATATATCGTAGATTTTGAACTAAACAGTAAAGTTACTGATGTTGATTAAAGGTTTTGTGGTAAATTTAGATTGACCATCTTTTCAGAAGTTTCCGATATCTTTTACAATCTTAAATATTTTGTTTTGTTTGTTTGTAGTTAAGCACAAAGCTACACAATGGGCAATCTGTGCTGTGCCCACCACTGGTAGCGAAACCCAGTTTCTAGCGTTTTAAATCCGCAGACTTAGCGCTGTACCACTGGGGGCAAAGATTTTGTACACATATATTTATGAAACATGTGACTAGACCTAATTTTTGGAACATTAAAAGTTTTAGCAATTGGTTCAATCTTGTAAGAAAGACACATATACTACAATTCACTCTCCTTTCATGGTTTGAGCCTCTTCAGATGTCTTCTTGTGTGGATGGTTCAGTTTTATCAAAATGAAATTATTCAAGTGTAATACATTATTCGGGAGCAATCTGGCTTCCTTTTTTTTTAAGTTAGGGTGTTTGAAAACATCGTCATTCTGAATAATCAACCAATTTTAGAAATAAATATGTTGTAATTTCTGAAATAATTAAAGGCTAGTTTAACAAGGGAAATGCTAAAACTAAATACGTTATTTTTTCTTCCGATAATGATATAATCCCCCTTCTCGTAAGTTTGATCATAACCAATAAGATTCGAATACTGTCTAATATAAAATAATAATAATAACGGACCAATTGAATAATCTATAGTTTGAACTATGGTACTCAAGGGCTAAACTTAGTTAGATTTCCGATATAATAAAACAATTTACGCGTAAAACTTTGTCTCGTCTGGGTGATAGATACTGACTGTATGCAGTTCAAAACCGAAGGACTGAAAACTAAAAAAAAAAGAAGGGGGGGGGGGCTCTTGTGGAGATTTACTAGTAGAAGTTTGTTAAAACTTGTACTTTATATGAAGGAAGAAATATTTCCTGCTGGTTCAGCTACATCCGGGACAGTTTGATCCGCTGTCCTGGGGTCTTCATCGTTGGAGGTGTGAAGCTGAGAGTCTATGCAACTAACGCCATCTCGCGATACTAGTCGGAACCACGGATGGCGAAGGACGTCGTCGATGGCTAATCGTTCTGCTGGATCCTTTCTCAGCAGACTTCGGATGAGACACTTGGCTCGAGAAGACACCATGTCGGGAATGTTGAACTTGCCTCGGCAAATCTTCCCAAAGAGAGCGCTGTGATCGATGTCGTGAAAAGGATATCGTCCAACAAGCAAGGTGTACAGCATAACACCCAGGCTCCAGCAATCTGCTGCCCTACCAGAGTAACTCCCGATAGTGGTCAGTATTTCTGGGCTGACATAGGCGGGACATCCATGCTTGTCATTTAAGTGGTCACTAGAGCCCTCGTCAAGTACAACAGCATCGTCTAAAGTCTCCAACTTTAACAGGGTCCTGTTAAAAAAAACGTTGAGATAAAAAAATAACATCATAATAATGAGTGTTCGTTCATCTTACAATACTGATTGTTTCATTAATGAAAAAAAGGGGGAAAATAAATACGATTATATCACAAAAATAAGCAAGATGCTGGTGTGCACGCGCGTGGACTCGCACAAAATCTGAAGATCTTATTCAAACTCAAAACAACTCGTTACAACAAATGAAATTAAACATATCAATGATTTGTTGTTCCCTCAACCAAAACTGGTCGTTATATTGACGAAACAACCAACTGGTTGTGAACTAAACCCATAAACTTGTTCAACACAGTGAAAAATCATTAAGTACGGATGAAACAAAGTGGCGGCCATAAAAAAATCATCGCCCGTTTAATTAAAACCACCTTTAAAATGTGAGAATATTAACAATGACTATTTCACAGTATTGGCTGAGCAAAACTAAAGCTTATTGTACTTTTAAAGCTGCCTAAATCACTATATATACGTGTTTATGGAGTGAATCAAAATGTCACTATTTCAAGGAATTGTCATCTAAGTAAGTAAGTAAGTGACTTTTCCAGACAAACGTGCAGAAAAAATGACGAACCCCATCGCTCTAATTCTTTCATAGAACACTTCCTTTTGGGGTCCCAATGATCCTTTTTTGTACCGAAAAAAGTATACTAGTGTGTGTGTTAAACGGAGGATGCGCTACTTTAGGCTTGAGGGTAGATTGGTTGAGATCCTGATGAGTTATAAAACTGAATCGGATATACTGGCGCCCCATGCTTGGTATTGCTAGCGCACAAAAATATAGCTTATAAAAAAGAAACAAACAAGTATAATAAAGAAATTAAGGTTGAAAAATTGTATCTCTACTTTGGCCCAGACTAACATAACACTGTAATTTGCCAAAGTAGGGATAATTTTGTTTTCAATGTTAAGTAACTCAGTTTTTGTAGTTTGACTTTCTTGTTTCAATACTTTTGTATCATTAAAACTTTCTATATTACTATAGCGAGCTAGGTTAAATATATATCGATCCTAACTTGTCTTTATAAAATTTAATTTTTTTTTATTATACTTGTACAAATAATGATCATTATACTTTTAAAAAGTTTAACCTTTACGTCGGGTATGGTTTTGTAAAGCTTCTTACATATATAACACGCTCTCTCTACTAAATCACATCTAATGGAATGATACACCTTAAATACACTGCTATTAGTTAGTGAATTGTTACATCTACAGCTGGAGAAATACACTGATCAGGTTAAAGATTGTGGTTGGAGTGTAAAGAACGGAAAGTAAATAGAGCTAAATATATGTCACACTGTTGTAGACACTATGTCTGCAGTTATATATGTCATACTGTTGTAGACGCTATATGTCTGCAGTTATATATGTCATACTGTTGTAGGTACTATATGTCTGCAGTTAT